GTTATATATTGCAGAATATTTTTCTTTTTAAAAATGGATTCCATCACTTCCTCATACAAGTCCACAATTTATGCTGAAAATGATAAAATAGAAAGATATGGTACAACTCATAGTTCCTTTTCCTTTCAGTCTTTCTTTACTCATTAGCAAGCCAAAGATAGTGTTGGTATATATACGTGTATCAAGAAGTACAATTTTTTAAAAAGTTGAGTTATATTTGTGCAATGTTTCTACTATTCTGGTTGGAACAAAAATACATATGTATGTATGAACTACAAATATGTAAAAATTATGTAATTTCAGGAATTCCACATAAAACTATGTTCTTATAATTACATTTAGTATTGGCATTGCACAAAATTAAAGTGAATTGTAAAACTTATAATAGCTTAAAATTTTAATGTTTTTTTAGAATAATATTAAACAGCAAATAATAAACACAACCATAATTGAGAATGAGACCACAGAAGAAAAAGCTTTATATTTTAGTACAAGAAAAATACATTTTTTTTCTGCTTTTTGGAAAAGGAAACCCACGTTTTCATTTTGCACTGGTCTCACAAATTATGTAGCTAGACTTAAGAGTAGGATGAATTAACTGAGAATTCTGATGCAGGAAATGTGTTCAATTTCTTTACCCTCAACTTCTTTTCCTAAAATTCCTCTAAAACAACATAGCATTTTGCATTTCTGGACCATTGTGTTTCTTGGGAGGACTTACTTAAAGAGAACAATTGTTTATTATTTCAATGTTAATGTAGCTCCTCTATTGACTTGGGGGAAAGGAAACACCACTGTATTTCTCCACATTTCTAGTTTGTTTTGTTTCCTTCTCACTGGACTCTGCCCCCACGCTTCACACTAAGATTTCATGGGTGATGACGAGTCAGATGGCATTTTTCACCAGTGCTCCATTGGGTATCCTAGCAGTTTAGATCACCTCCACTGCAGACAAAGCTGCTAGAAACACATGCAAAACTCAGTTCCCCTCAGAGTTATTCTGAGAACCCTAATTCATTTGAGAAAGGGAGGAGTGGCAAAGAACTTCAGCCTACACTCCAACTTACAAAGCAGATAATAACACTGACTGTTTTCTTGTGATGACGAATCAGAGGAAAAGGCAGTCAGAAACACCATTTTAGCATAGATGGTCAGAATATGCCAACCCTCACATGTCCCGGCAATGCCATTTTCCACTTTATAGCGACAGTTTTCCTGAGGTGTAGTTAGAGGTGCAATGAGTGAAACACAATGTGTGGAATTGCAAGGAAGGGAATCGGAATGTTGATATCGAACCAAATGATGAGATGAAGAAGCCCCACAAGGAGGAAACATATGGCCATGCATATGCATGGTGATTTGGATCAGGAGCACATGTGGCTAGATGACACCATGGTAATGTTAGGGCATAGCAGTCAGAATCAGCCTTAAAAGCTGCTTACTCTCTACTGAGTGCCTCCCCATGGTGGGAAGATAGTTCTCAATTATATTAAAATGGATTTCTTCACTCTCTTGCAGGCTAGGGAATATCTCTATCTGAATATGAGTACAAATTAAAAGTACCTTGCTTTGCACTTGTTTTTGTCATTGAAGAAATTGAGTTTTTCAATTATATTTTAAAATACACACATATATTGGATATTGATTGATCTTTTCCATCTGCATTCTTTCTGGTTGAGCAATTCTTCACGCATGTCCTTAAAAATCTGTTTAGATGACGATGATGATGATGATGATGATAATGCAATAACATGTCTGTTTCATCTGTCTAGTATGACATCATCTTATTGAAAATCTGCAGGAGCATACTAGTATTGTTTGAACCCTAATCATGAGGAGATGGCATATGTCTCAGCATAGTGTAGCACTGTTTGTGCTATAGGCGAGAAGGAAGGCCTCTGTTAAAAAATGTTATCTTGATGCTGTTTATCCAATTTGTTTTGTTTCATGTGGAACAGGAAACTACAGTGAGGTTTAACTAAACATTCTTTAGAAAGGATAAAATTTGGTGACAATAATTATAGTAGAGGTCATTTGCCAAGAACTTGAAGATGTTGTTGTATACCTGATATTAGAGACATTTCCTTCTAGAAAATGTATCACAGTAGATATAGTTTAAAACATCAGTCTCTATTTACAGTATTCCTCCTTAACACAGTGCATATAAAAATCAACTCTTATTCAGGCAATTTGTTGTTCAGAAAAGTTGCCAAGTTAGATGAAAAACCAAATGAAATTTTAAGATTGAGAAATTGTATTATTATTATTCTCTTTAAAAATTCAAAATATTCCTTGCTTATTTCTCATTTGCAGAATAGTTCCTTTGTGTGCTGTGTTATGATTGTGATCTCTCTGGGCTAATACAGGTATTGTTGCTCTCTCCATATCTACCTAATCCCTATTACACTATTGTTCCTAAAATGAGGAATGTGCACCTTCCAACGCGATTTAAACAATTTGGCATCCAACAAAAGCTTGTAAGAATAGAAGGTGCCAAATTAATTTTCATTTAACAAATATTGGAGCAGCATAATTTTTCAAAGTGCTTTTTGAGGTGCCAGAAATACACAAAATAGAAACATTTCTTCTCTCATTGAACTTACAATCTAGTGAGGTTATGCAGGCAGTAAAAATATGGACCAAGAAGTGGACAAGGTTATTTCAGATTAGATTTTGAAGAAAATAAAATGAGATGATCCATAGTGACTATATGTAGGGGCTTCTTTAGGCTGTGACAAAAATCCTCTTAAGAAAGTCACACTTGAGTTGAAACTCAACAAATGATAAAGAAGCCAGACTGTGGAATTTGGGGGGATACATTTCACACAGAGAGAGTAGCAAGCATAAAGAACTCTAAAAGGAAATCATCGTAGAGTGCTTGAAGTTCCAAATAAAGTTCAGTGTAGCTACAACACAGTAAGCAATGCATAAAGAAGTAAGTGGAAGTCAAAGAGCAGAAACCATATAGCAGAGGTCAGGTAACACAGGGTGACGGTAATGCATGTTAACTTCTTCTATGATATATCCTATTTTGACAGGTTTTATATCTATCTGTGCTTTAACTTAACTTCATCCTTTGGTTTCCTGAGGATAAACCCATGCCTGCCTCATTCTAATAAAATTCAGGTATCAGCTAGCTTGCTCCATTCTCTGATATTTAAAAGAGTTTTGCTTAAAATATTCAACAGCAGGCAGTGGGAAAACCAATAGCTGTCCCATTTATTTCAAAGATTTGTTTGCGGGAATGAGGCATACACACTAAATTAGTTTAATTTGCACATTAATTAATTGAATTGGAAACTTTGAATATTTATCAGAGCAAAGAATTAAGAAAGAAAATATTCCCCATTATTCCCATGTGATAAAATTAGAAATGAAGCTTAAAACTAGACTTTAAACTTAATGCTGCAGGGATTGGATATTGGGAAGAGTTTAGACATAAATATTAGCATTAATGACTATGATTACATGTAAGCAGGAAGTATGGTCTTAGGTCTAGATGATGTAACAGAACTAAAATGGATATCACTACAAAATGCCATATATACAAATTCTAGAAGTTTTTCCCATTAGTAAAAAATAGATTATAAAGATTATAAAAACTCTTTTCATTGGCTCAAGAGAAACATTATCATTGCTAGTTTTCTGACTGGAAAAAAAAAGTTTAAGATGGGAAATCAAAGTTTTAAGTCCATATCCAATATAGGTGTGAATCCAAATGTATACATCCCACGACTCAAGAAGAGATTTTGCATTTATTTAAAAATGATCTAAGACTGAGGAAATAATGAGGGCACTGGGCAGAGGACAAAACAGAGCTTTAACCCCAGTCTCCCTACCAAGAGCACATTTGTCTTCCATAGAAAAATTTTTTAAAAATTGAAATAAACAAACAAACCAATCTCCCTACCAAGAGTACACGGATCTTCCATAGAAAATTTTTTAAAAAAATTGAAATAAACAAACAGGAAAAACCTATCTCTACTGCAGCTGAGCTCACAGCAAATGTGAAAGACTACTTAAGAAATGACCCCTCAAAAAGGAGGAAAAGAAAAACCTAGCAGAATTAGCACTATGGATATGTTTAGAATAGAAAAGAAAATAACTTTGTCATGATTAAAGACCTGAAGAAAGCAGTAAATAATGCAATGAAAATATAATTCAAAAATTCAAACAAGTCGGATTTGAAAAATGTCCAAATAAGACTTCTATAAATGAAAAAAGTAATTATTGAAATAGGATAAAATAAACACAATAGGTACAGTTAACAGTTAACAATTTTTTTTATTATTATTATATTTTAAGTTCTAGGGTACATGTGCACAACATGCAGGTTTGTTACATGTGTATATATGTGCCATGTTGGTGTGCTTCACTCATTAACTCGTCATTTACATTAGGTATATCTCTTAATGCTATCCTTCCCCCTCCCCCCCTCCCCACAATAGGCCCCGGTGTGTGATGTTCCCCTTCCTGTGTCCAAGTGATCTCATTGTTCAATTCCCACCTATGCGTGGGAATGTGCAGTGTTTGGTTTTCTGTTCTTGCGATAGTTTGCTGAGAATGATAGTTTCCAGCTGCATCCATGTCCCTACCAAGGATATGAACTCATCCATTTTTATGGCTGCATAGTATTCCATGGTGTATATGTGCCACATTTCCTTAATCCAGTCTGTCACTGATGGACATTTGGATTGATTCCAAGTCTTTGCTATTGTGAATAGTGCTGCAATAAACATATGTGTGCATGTGTCTTTATAGCAGCATGATTTATAATCCTTTGGGTATATACCCAGTAATGGGATGGCTGGGTCAAATAAAAATGAAGTGAGCCCGAGGAAGTTAAACAGAAAGTAACATAAAAAATATGATAGATGAAAATACAAAAACTTGTGAGATGCTTCCAAAATAATAAATTCCTAGTCATTTACTGCACCAAGGAGATTGTCAATGAAGCAAAGGGAGGGGGGCAAATCTAACTGCTTATCAAAGAGGTTTACCTTGTCTTCCTTATTTTAGGCTGCTTCTTCCCTCCTGGTTTTGAAGGTACCTGGTTCTTCCAGTTCCTATGACTTTCTGGTTTTATCTGGTGAAAGTCAGACTCATCCCGGGCCATTTTCACTTCTGATTTGTAATTTTGCTCCACTGAGGTCTTTAATTTGGTTGTCACTCACCCTTTTGCTTTTTATCTTCCACCTTTTTTTCTCTTCTTCATCCTTTGTGTATTTACAACTTCAAAAGATTGTCACTAAAAAGAAAGAAGAAAGGATATACGACAGAGACTTAACAAAAGTTGGTCACTTATTATAGCAAGGAATGAGAAGACAAAATAGTAAAGATGTCAATTATCTTCAAGTTAAACAATAAATATAATTCCAATCAAGATCTGAAAATGTTTTTCATTAGAAATTGACAATGTGAGCTTTAAAATCTCATTATAAAGTAAAGGGAAAGACAATTTTTTTAAAAAAGGAAGTAGACTTATCCTACAAGGTATAAAGACACTGTTATGTTAAATTATTGAATTCTGTTTTCATCTTTTAGATAAGAAAAAGTAGACCGCTGGAACAAAGTTGTGAGCCTGGATATAGATATATTCCAATACAGCCAGTTTTTGAGCAATGTGAGGATTAGGGAAACTTGTGGAGTTGAAAATTTGCCTATAACTTTTCACACCCCCAAAACTTAACCACTAATAGCTTACTATTGACCAGAAGCATTACTTATAATACAAACAGTTGGTTAACACATATTGTATATGTTATATGTCTTATATACTGTATTATTATAATAAAATGGCCAGAGAAAAGAAAATGTTTTTAAGAACACCATAAGAGAAAATATATTTATTATCAAGTGGAAATAGATTATAAAGGTCTTTATTCTTATTATCTTTACATTGAGTATACTGAGGAGGAGGAAGAAAGGGGGTTAGTCTTGCTGCCTCAGAAGGGGCAGAGGTAGAAGAGAGGCAAGAAACGCAAGCAAATTTGGTATAATTTACAAAAATACATCATAATTTCTGCCTGAATGTTTTGCTCTTTCATTTCTCTAAAAATGCCTCTATACAGTACCAATTCTTCCATCATTTACTTTAGTTTCAGTGCTCATATCTTAAAAAGACCAGGTTTTAAAAGAAATCAAAGCAGTCTTGAGTAATCAGAACTCTTCTGCTAGATTCTCTAATGTGAATTTGCTTTCTGTCACTGCCTCTTCTACATATTCTTCCTCATTATTTGAGGCACTCATCTCCATCAAGTCACCTTCTGTTAATTCCTCTGATGTGGTATCTCTTAGCTCCTGAATTTCTCCAAGATCTCTATCTTAAAACCCTTCACTCTTCACCTTATTTGCCATATCCACAATCTCTCTCATGATTTCCTTGGTTGGCTTTGTTGCAAATCCTATGAAGTCATGCAAAACATCTGGACATAGCTTTCTCCAGCAGAAATTCATTACTTGGGGCTTGACAGTTTTCAGGTATTTTGCTATAATGATAGCAATTTCAATGGAGTAATCTTTCCAGACTTTCATGATGTTCTGTCTATCAGGGTTCTCTTTCATAGCATTGATGATCCTTTCCACAGAGTACCATATGTAATGAGCCTTAGCAGTTATTATGACCCCTTATCTAGAGGCTGAATTAGAGAGATTGTGTTGGAGGGCAAGTAGACTTTTGATGCCTTTGATGTTGAACTCATGGGGTTCTGGGTAGTCAGGGGCATTGTACAATATCAAAAGAGCACTTCTTGACTTCAGGGACAAAGCATGGATAGAACTTATCCAGAAAAAAATGTTGTGTTCAGGCCTTCTTGTTGTACAACCCAAAGTCTGGCAGATGGTGTTTGTCTTTTCCATTCAAGGCTTGAGGGTTAGCAGTTTTGTAGATAAGGGCAGTCCTGATTATCAATCCAATTGCATTTGTACAAAACCATAGTTAGCCTGTCCCTTCCTCCCTTAAATCCTGCTGCTCACTTTTTCTTACAAACAAATGTCCTCTGTGGCTTTTTTTTTTTTTTCTTCTAGTATAGGATACTTTCTTCTGCACTACAATCCTATTCAGGCACATGTCTGTTTTCTTCAATGATTTTTTTAATAGCACTTAGGAACTCTGCTGCTTCTTGTTCAGCAGAAGCTGTTTCTCCTATTACCTTGACTCCTATTATTAATACCTCTCCTGTTTCTCCTATTACTTTTACTTTTTAAAAAGCCACACCTCTTTCTAAAATTATTAAACCATCCTTTGCTGGCATTAAATTCTTTAGCTTTAGATCCTCATCTTTCATTTGCTTTAAGTTGTTATACCATGACTTTGCTTTTTCTTGAATTATATTAGAGTCTACATATAAGCTTTTCTTACAACAAATCTGCACCCACATTAAAGCTACATTTTCAGTATGAGATAAAAATGTATTTTCTAAAAAGTACAAGTTTTTCATGTCTGCTGGAATTGGTCCTGAATGCTGAATTTATTTATCTTGAAATGTCTTGAAATGGTAGCCACCACAGTTGCAAACTTCAATCTGTGGAATCTATCAAGCAATTCAACCTTTTCTTGTAATGTCATGACTCTGCTATGCTTCTTGGGAGCACTCCCAGCATCGTAGTGGCACTATGTATGGGTCTCATGATATTATCTAAGGTTTAAAATATTGCAGTAAACACAATAAAAATATGTAAGAACTGTGACACATCTCTTTTTATTGCAATACACAATTTACTGGAGATACTGCCCACCTGGAGATGATTAGCATCACAAGGATTTTAAACAGATACTCTCAACATTTGAGCTCACCACAATAGCAACAGGAGGTGCCTACAAAATTATTACCATTGTATCTTATGTACCGTAGTTAATTTTATGCAGTAATAATTTTTTTTTTTTTTTTTTTTTTTTTTTAGATGGAGTGTCATTCTGTTGCCCAGGTTGGAGTGCAGTGGCACGATCTTAGCTCACTGCAACTTCTGCCTCCGGGTTCAAGTGATTCTCCTACCCCAGCCTCCCGAGTAGCTGGGACTACGGGCACTCGCCACTACGCCCAGCTATTTTTTTGTATTTTTAGTGGAGACCAGCCAGGCTGGTCTCGAACTCCTGACCTTGTGATCCACCTGCCTCAGCCTCCCAAAGGGCTGGGATTACAAGCATGAGCCACCACACCCAGCCTATGCAGTTATAATTTTTTACTGTATCTTTATGTTTGTTTACCTTTCTCTCTACTGCCAATGAAGTCACATACAGTCTGCCTTTGTGTGCATGAGTTTTGATACATTTAATCTTGTTAAAATATATTTGTGTATATTTTATGGTAGTAAATGATAAAATTGACTAGAATATTTATGTATTTTATGCATTCATCCCATACTTTTTTCTAAAAATTTCCAATACTTCTCGGCAACACTGCTTGCCTGCAAGTTTTTCAAATTGCCAAAAATCTCAAAAAATGTTTCCAACATATTTAATGAAAAAAAGCCTGTGTAGTAAGTGGACCTGTGTAGTTCAAACCCATGTTGTTCAAAGGTCAACTGTATAGAAAATTGGGATATAACAGACCTGGAATTTTAATAAGTAGTGGAAGGAAAAGAATTATTTATAAAACTGTTCCAGGACAAATGGCAAATCATACAATAATAAAATAAAACCAGATTCCCTTGTACTGTACTTCAGATTATCTCAAATTTAAATTAAAGACCTGAATATTAAAACCTTTAGAAGAGAATGTTATTATAAATTAGGAGCAGGAAATACTTTCTGGAAAATAATCAAAAAGCACAAACTTTAATGAGAAAGATTCTTAATGACCAGAGTAAAAAAAACTTTGCATTACAGATAATACCATAAACAAAATTAAAAGACAAACAATTTTGTGGGAGAAGGTGCTTTTACAGTATGTAGTCAACAAAAGATTGGTTATTAGATTACGTATTTTTATAAAATGCCTTCAAATTAACATTAGAAAGACACACAATCCAAAAGTAAAATTGTTTGTCTTTCTAATGTTTCTATATACACACATGTATATATAATATACATAATGTTTACCTATGTATAATATATATTTATATATGATATATAATATTTATATATATTTACATGTATATATTATATATTTACATGCATGTGTATGTGTGTGTATATATGTATATATATGCATAACAAATTCAAAGTAGTGGAGGCCTGGATGACCAACAAATGTAAGAAAAAATAATGAACTACAGTTTTAATAGAACATATAATTTTAAACAATGAGCTATTAAATCACATGTCAGTTTGACAAAAAATGTAAAAATCAGATATTCATAATTGTGACGCTGTAGAGAAAGAAAAACTTTCATACACTGATAATATTAGAGTAAATGGCGCAATTACTTTGGCATTATCTGGTAAATTTAAAAATGAATTATTCTACATTCCTGTAATTTCAACCCTAAGAACGTGCTCTAGTTCTATGGTGTTTCAACCTACAACATCTCTATTTTATATTGTGACTCAGTATATGCCAGAACACAACTGAAACAAAATTTTCATGAAAGAGCACTTACTCTGTGTGTGATACTGTTATGCACTGAAGTGTGTCTTTTCAAATTAATCTGTTAAAAACTAATCACTAATACCTCAGAATGTGGTTTTACAGAATGTGGAGGAAGAATGTTTACAAAAATACTCCATTTTAAATGAGATAATTAGGGTGGACCCTAACTGAGTATGACTGGTTCCTTAATAAAAAGGGGAAATTTGGAGACATACACATAGGGAGAATACCATAAGATAAAGGCAGAGATTGAAGTGATGTTTCCATAAGCCAAAGAATCCCAAAAATTGACAGCAAACAACCAGGAGCCAACACTGCTAACACCACGATCTTGAACTTCTAGCCTCCAGTACTGTGAGACAATATATTGTTGTTTTAAACCACTTTGTTACAGCCTCCATGGCAAACTAGTACAGATGAGCAATGACATTAGTAGTGTGTTTTATTTTGTTTTAAAAGTTGAAATTCATGAAATTTACCACCTACAAATAAATTATGACCTATAATTTGAAAAATTTTGCCCCAGAAAATGTCTTGCATATACTACCAAGAATTCATTGAAGCATTATTGATTATAGCAAAAGCCTGTAATTATGAAAATATCAACCAAAAAGAGAATAAATAAAGTGAATTCTGGTGTATTAATATAAGGGTCAATTCAATTGTAACTAAAATGAATGAACTGGAGCTTCATGTATGAATATGGAAAAATGTTAAA